CTTTTGTAAGATTCATTTAAGCCCATCAAAAACTTCATTACACAATTACGTTGCTGATTTTCAACTACTGTTTTCAAACCTCCACATGAACAAGGATAGACTCATTCAATAGTTCAACTAATAGAGTTTTAAGTTTTGAAAAATAAACACTTGACAGCGTTCTGGTTATGCGATAATGCCATTATAACTTGTTTGATTTCATAGATTTTATGACTTCCCTATTGAATACTAATTTTGATAAATTTGACCTCATTTTTACGATCTCATCATTATAATTCTGACTATATAACATAATTCTAGATCTTTTTTTAAGTTGAATTTATCTTCTTTATTTACAGAAAAATGCCATTAGTAATACTTGACCTAGATAATGATGGTTTAGAATCTCATAGTAGCTTTTTGAAGGAGATTATTGTTTTCAAAAAATTACTGATAGTTATCTGACGTTCTTAAACTCAGGATGTATGCTTGATTGACAGATAAAAGGATAGTTGCAGGGGATTCTATTTAGACACTGATTTAGCTCCTTGGACCATTCATCTTATACATTTTCACTTTTAAATTTAAATTATATACAATGATTAATTTCATAATAACATTCATCTTTTTGAAGAATACTGATATAATTCCTCTGATTATTTTGTAGGTTTCGAATATTTTGTTTGTTGACCACCTTATTGGGATTGGCATTATCTATACCACTAACAGATATAACATTCGCCACAATGAAAAGAATTTTAGCAATGACTTATATGACTTTGTACAGGTTAGTTTCATTACGTTCTTTGTGTTTCCATTTGGTTCACTGGTTTATGATAAAATTTAAATTAGATTAGAATAATTGCTTAATGAAACACACAAAAATTAAACTAGCAAAGGGGATGAATGTTAGGTAGATTAATAGAAAACTGATATTTTATGGTCAACACAGTGTAAAGATTATAGAAAAGAAACAGATACCCTTTTAATCATTTTAATTCTTTTTTAGCTATTGCTTTAGATTTTTGAGTAGCTGGCTATGGCCTTAATTATGTGATATAATTGCTGATATACATTTTCTGTCAACTCCAAAGAACTCTGTTTTGAACTGGCATAGAGTTAAAAGGCCACAATCTATATAATTTCATCTCATTCATACTATACAAATTTTTTAAAGTTACCCCCTTTTTTTTCTCCAAAGTGTATGTTTGGTGAACAAATTAATGGCCATTAATTGGTTTCTTTATTTTTATGAGTATTATAATTTGGAATAGATGCTGTCTTTATTACCTGTAACCTTCCAAATTCTTGTTTCGATGCTTCTAGGTGAAATATATTTAATGCATATCCATTACTTGTATGGTGCTAAAAATAAAGGCCTCAGGATCAAACAAAACAGAGAGTATTAGCCTGTTTTCTATTTAGTCTTTTTTTAGACTTTCTGATCCATTGTGTTCTTGACTGTTGAGCTTGAATTAAAAACTATTGAAAAAATCAAATGGTCAAAAATATTATACATGCAGATAGACTAGAATGGGCTAACACCGACTTAGGCTGCTCATTTCACTTAAGTTTAGATATGTGGTTTCAAGAATTCATTCAGTTTCTACTTATATTAATATAATTTTTCCTAATATTATAAATTCAAAACTTTGGTTATATTTGATGATGAAATAAATACGCTTCGTATTTTATAATATTATGTACTGGCGAAAGGTAGCGAGTTGAGTGCGGTGACTTCTTAAACATATCTTTGGGATTGGGAAAAATGATGTTCGTCGGGGATCGGTGATTGAAATAGAAAAATGATCACTTCATTATAACTGCGTGCGATTGTGTGTTTTCCTTTCTTTTAGCTACTATCCGCTTAGCCGAATGCTTTATTAGCTTTTACTTTAGTATGACTACCATATTGAATACTAATTTTGATAAATTTGACCTCATTTTTATGATCTCATCATTATAGTTCTGAATATATAACATAATCCTAGATGTTTTTGAGTTGAATTTTTCTTCTTTATTTACAAAAAAATGTCATTGGTAATACTTGTCCTAGATAATCATAGTTTAGAATATCATAGTAGCTTTTTGAAGGAGATTGTTTTTTTTGTGAAAATCACTGACAGTTATCTAACGTTCTTAAACTGAGGATCTATGCTTGATTGACAGATAAAAGGATAGTTGCAGGGCATTCTATTTAATTACATACTGATTTAGCTCCCTGGACCATTGATCTGATACATTTTCACTTTTAAATTTAAATTTGTTGGGTTTTTATGGTTCTAAAGCTCATATCAAGAGCTCTAATAAACAAGCATATTTGTATTGATGGAGAGGAAGTAAAGGAGTATCAAAAACATGAAGCTATATACCGGTTATTGAAGTAACAGGATATGAACAAAGGCTAAAATCATATACTATGCTCCAGATTTGAACTCACAAAGAAGAAGAAATAATATTGACATTTTGAATAATATTCACTTCATAATTTTACATGAAACTTGGCTCTATATATAGCCAAACTTGTACACTTTGTATACCAACTATTCTATTAACTCTTACACATACCATACTTGACAATACACTAACTTGTAAAATACTCTATCTTTGTCTAACTTTACATCACTTCATAGGTAGACAAATATGTAACTAAATATTAAACCAAAATACAATTAAAAACGTGACAACAAAATGTGTCTACTCTAAGACTCCTCCTTGATATTTTGTTGGAACCATTAAAAACTTATTCAGATTTCAGGCTATCAAGTTCTGTTCAATATTCTCAGATTCTGATGCTTCACTTTCTCAAGCTTGAGTTTCTTTGTTTTCCATTTTATCAGACTCTCTTGGTTGCTACTTTCAATTGTAGTATCAACTCTTCTACCTTAACCACCTACAAAGAAGCTTTTAATTTGCATCATTTCCTTTTGATTTCTGATTGAATTGATGAAGCTGCTGTTTTTTCATCTTTACCGGATTTTTCTTGAGCTTACTGGTTTTGGCATTTCCTTTGCATACTTGATTTCAAGATGAGTTTACCGGGTTTTTCGAGCTTACTGGATTATGCATCATGCTTAGCCGGATTCACTCCTACTTCGCTAACCGGATTACACTCCTTTTCATACCAAATTTACTTTTTTTTAGCCCATCCCAGATTCGTTCACATACCGGATTTGAACTGTCTTCTACAACAAATTCAATTCACTCCTTTTTCAGCCATTTTCATCACCATCTAAGAGTTTCATTTTTCCAGGGTTGCTAGTAATCTTTGAGCTTACCAGATGTTTTCATTCCTTATGCTTACCGATTTTTAACATTTTTTCTGCCCTTTTTCTTTCTGTATTTTTAATGTGACTGCAAACTCGAATTTTTTTATTTTCCAAATTGATCCAAGCTCCTC